AAAAAAATATAATTATGACTTGAATAAGAAATGCTCATAAATCCTTGTTTTTATTTTAAATAGTCTTTAAAATCTATTTAAAGAGTAGTTTTCTGGTGGATGAAATATATAAAATACAGAGTGTACGGAGGTCCTTGCATGATTGACTAACTTCCAAATCCAAAATGAGTTAAATAAATGTATAAGGACAGTCTGTCAGATAACTTTGTGCACTAATATCTGAATTTAATTTATTCTCGTCCCCTGTTTGGTGTTTTTGTGCATTTATTGTTATTTTATTCTATAAATAAACTGGAGGAGTTATGGATTAGCAGTAAATATCATTTGGATTGTTCCATGAAAAATGATGAGAAGCTGAAACAAACCACCGAGATAAAACTGCAGTATCTAAATTAAATATGAATATGATGAGAACATATTGATCCTCTGTACAGCGCAGCAGCAGGAAAATACAATAAAATAAAAATATATAGTATATAAAATAAATACACTTAAAATAACTGAAAATAAATGAATAAATACTCTTATAAAATAAAGTTTTTGATAGATTTTCTTTATGTTCTGTCAATAAAGACGAGAGTTACTTCAAGTATCGCGGGAGTTACTTCAAATATCGCGAGAGTTCCCGGGAAGCGCATATCAGTTAGCATATCAGTTAGCATGTCGGTGGCTGCTGACAGACATTAACGTCCATTTAAAGGTTTATATTTTATGTTTCTGGACTGTACAGGTGGGTTTTATTACCTGCTGGACTTTTGTACCGTCACACCTTCCGAAGACCGTTGTTTTATAGCTAGCTGCGGTTAGCTGAGGACAGCTAGCCGCTAGCACAGCAGGCTAAAAACATTAACTTTAACTTTCAGGAGACTTTAAAGACAAATTAAATTATTTATTATTTAATATTAAATATTAAACGTTAGCGGCAGTTTAAAATGTGCATTTAACGTTGTGTTTATGTGACAGAAAGTGAAGCGAACGAGTTAATAAGTTTAATATTTCACATTAATCAGATTATTAAACATTAAAGCAGAGTTACTGTTATTTTATTCTAATTATCTGACTATTATGTATTTTTAACACCATTTAACAATCTTAACTACTGAATCAACCTCTTTTTTTAGACAAAGTCAGAGTTTTCTTCTGATGTTGGGTCATTCTCTACAGACTGGGTTCAGGTCTTTAACCTTTACATCTGAAATAATCTTTAAACTTTAATAATGAAAGTAGCTTCCCTCTCAGAAATGAATGCTCAGATAAAGGCCTGCTGTGTTAGATGACACAGGATTAAATGGATTAATGCTGAAACTGGAGAACACGTTGAACATTTCAGTGTTCCAGGTTGTGAAGCAGAAAGAGAAGAAGGGAATAATCTTGATGCAGGACGAGCAGCTGAATAAAGGACAGGATGGTTCAGTCTCAGTCTGTACAGTGGGCGGCGGTGTGCACCTTAAACTACAGTCTGCTTTAAGCTTTAAGTCCAGAGCAGAAGAAGAATTCACTGTCTGGTCTTTGGCTCAAGGTGGCAGCAGTTCAGCTCCACAGGGTTAAACCTATAAAGACCAAGAACAACATCAACAACCCAACGAAACATCCGCTTAAAGAATCATTCAACTCTTCCTAATAAAACTGACAGGATATTTATTATTTTATTTATTTGCACAGATTAGAATTACATTAAAACAACAAAGATAAGAAACTGTAAAGTGCAGAGAGGCAGAAACACAGATGGGTTTATTTAAAGACTCCACCTAAAGTGTCAGAGTTACAAAGAACAGAAAACTGAGATACAGAGAATATTATAACTTCATAAAGTAATAACAAACTGATAACATCAACAATAAGTTATAATGACAA